TTCCGCGTGGCTAGTTAACGAACTATCGTTCGGCGTCTGGCTTGTGGCTGGATGAACGCCGTGGATTCGCTTATTTTGTATTTCTTTCGGCCTATGTGGTCGTTGGATGGTTACAAAACCGTACGAGCGAGGTGGCCGATTTGTTCGGCGGTGGCTAGTTGACGGATTAGCGGTCGGCGTCTGGCTCTTGGCTAGAGGAACGCCGTGGACTCACTTGTTTGTATTTTCTTCGGCCTTTGTGGTCGTTCGATGGTTACAAACCGTACAGGCGAGGTGGCCGATTTGTTCGGCGGTGCTTGGTTGACGGACCAGCGTTGGGTGTTTAGCTTTTAGCTAGAGGAACGCTGTGGACTCGCTTATTGTACAAGCGACGTGGCCGTTTTGTTCGGCGGTGACATCTAGCTTTTGGCTAGAGAGACGCCGTGAATTCGCTTATTTGTATTTCCTTCAGCCTTTTTGCGGTCGTGGGATGGTTACAAATGGTGGCAGCGAGGTGTCATTTGTGTTTTGTCTTTTCCTTCGGCTGATGTGGCCTTTGGATGTTTGTTATGAGTTATGATAATGGGTCATCGTTAATTGTTGAACGTTGCTAGGTCGTCTTACTTGTATTTTCTCCTTTGGCTGTGCCTGCCGAAGGATGTTTATACATGGTAACGCGAGAAGTTACGTGATGTTTTTTTTTTTTTTTTTTTCACGAGGCCTGTAATGAGGTTTTTTTTTATGCATAACACTAAGTGCTTCGCACATTGAGGTGGGCGGTGATTAAGAGTCTCTTTGTTCCTTTGCAGCGATTGCGTGAGGAGGTGAGACAGTTAAAGCAGTCAGTGGAGGCAGTAACCAACGCGTCGCCTGAGAAGCTCATGGAACAGATCTTGGCTTATGCTTCCCGCCCGTTGACAGAGTTTAACAAGTATGAGGTGCTTGAGCTGTTGGAGACTCCGCATAACAAGGCCGGTGACAGTAATCTTGACAGGAAGAACTACTATCGGCTCGTTCATCAGTCGGCGAGGGAAAAGGTGGAGTTGTCGAAGGACCACTTCAAGGACCTTGTTATGCGCCTATTAGGAGACAAGGACCACGAGAGGGTCCTGGATATCGTTTCTAAAGTAGAAAAGAAGTCAAATCGCAAGAAGCCTCAAGCGAACGACAACAGGGGTGCTGGTGTGGCATGTCCGTCTCGTCTATTTTCTTTGCGATGTTATTTTTGTCATAGGCGAGGTCATATCAAAGCTGATTGTCCTGACTTGAAGTCCAAGCAGAGGAAAACGGATCCCAAATCAGACAAGTAGCTTGTGTTTAGATCTCGTTAGTTCGCACCGGTGTTATAGGTTGAAGGCCGCCTGGACAAGGCTGTGTGTTGTAATATTGCTTAATTCTTTGCGATAATAAACAAACTTTTGTGTGTATTGAATCAATCTAGTGCATATTTTACTCTGTCTATTTTGTCAACATAGTTATAACGACTTTGAAAAAGGGGTATCCTTGAGACAAGGGCCCTCCAGCCTCGCTGGTCTTAGCTGTTATTTCTCTGCTGACTTTGACGGGGATGATTTTAATATGGTCTTAGATTTTTCGGCGATTCAGTGTCTAAAGGCGTCTTCACTACCCCTTTTTCCTAGGGAAACATGTGGTGTTGGGAAAAATCTGACTCCTTTGATCTTCGACTTCAGGAGTTACAAGGCAAAGAAATTGAGCTTCCAATGTCCTGGGTCGATTGTTTCGGTAACTCCGTCGAGGTCAGTGGAGAAGTGACAGCCTGTGACCGTGTTAGATTACAGAGAATACAGAGGGGAGAGTTAATTGGTGATATTTCGGAGTTATTGTTCCGTGACCCACATTGTTTTCGAGCTGGAGAATTGCATAACCATTTTGAGTATTGGCAGTACATTGCGCGAGATAGCTCGTCACCCCAACAGGCACAGATTCTTGGGTGGATAAGGGACAAGGTCTCGATTAAGCCGTTTTTCAAGCATTTTAAAGGAAGTTTTAAAGGAGAATTGTTCGATTCAGACGAGCCTCCGATGAAGGTGTTCAAGAACAATGCCTCTTGCAAGCCCTTTGTGTCATTTGTGGAGGAAACGTTAGTTGCACGCTTGAGATCTGGAGCTATTTCGCTGTTGGGGAGAGTGGGTGAGGTTGACCCTCCATTTATTGTTCTTCCCCTTACAGTTGAGCCAACAAAGCCAAGGTTATGTCACGATGCGCACTATCTTAATTTATGGATGCCTGATATGCCTTTCTCTTTAGACAGGCTGATAGATTTACCGCGTTACGTGGGCAAGGATACCTACCAAACGGTCCTAGACGATAAGTCTGGCTATGACCATATTCTTCTTTCTGAAGACAGCCGCACGTATTTTGGGATCCAATGGGGAGGGTGGTATTTCACGTATAATACCCTTCCTTTTGGGTGGAAGATCTCCCCATTTGTATATCATACTACTGGCCTGTTGGCTAGTAATTTCCTTAGAGCTACAGGAATCCCTTGTTTGCTCTACAT